GTTGGAACTGCCGACCTTTTGTTTAGCATCCCAGTGCTTAACCACGGCGCCACCAGAGCTCCTTCAAAGGTGCTTGAACATGCCATAATCCCACCAAATGGGGTGGGACAAGAGGAGAGAATGCTTCTCAGATGTAAGGACATTGCCTCTGCCACCTTCTCCCACCTTGTCACAAGAAGGCCCTGGAAAGACCCACATTCTTCCTTTTTTAAGAGACTTTACATTTTTCTGTACCGAATTTTCTTTAATGCCCAACTTTGACCCTAATCCCCAGAGTAAACTCTGGAATGTCATCTTCTTATCCCAGTCGAAGAGCCTCCCTTTTCCTCAACCCTAGCAGCCGCTACGCCTGGTGAGAATGAGGTAGAGAGGAGAGCGAGATTTTTCAGCTTAGATCTGGAGAGCATGCAGCACAGCTCAAGTCCACCCATGAACTATGTTCTCTTTGCGCTCTCTCTCCTCACCTGGCAGTAGGGAGTCCCCGTGGCATTTTGGAATCCATTTTGCTTAAGATGCTGAAGGCATCATGGCAAACTGCCTTTTGCTACTAGGGCCAAAGGAACTTGGGGAAGGACTTTGCCACCGGGATTTGGTCAGTTAAGGGGAAGGTGAGACCCAGCTCTGGTGCCTATGATACCTGAGGGCAGCCAGGTGCTTGGGCTGCTCCTAGGATCCTGTTGCAGGAACACGCCGGCCATAGGGTGGGTGTTGGTGACCCACCTGGGGCGCTGCTTCTCGCACTTGGACCCAGGTCTTCTGGTGAGTAGTAGCAGTAGCAGCCGCCGCCAAGCAGTTGAGTCCTTTTCTGTCTGTCCCAGTTATTTATAGGTGGTATTTACGATGCATGCAGGAAGGGACGCGGGATGACTATGGCCTTTGGAATGCATAATCCTAAAAGTCACACTTTTTCTAAAGCACCCCCCTCCCGGGTTCTCCCCCCCAGAGCAGGCACGGTCACAGGTGGGGAGTCTGCACCGCAGGCACACCGGAGTGGTCGACAGTGACGGGAAGAAAGGGGACCCGGGAGGCGGGGAGGGCAGGGGAGGAGAGGTCGGGGGCGCGGCATGGCGCGGCTCACCTGCCAGGCTGTTGTAGCAGTCGATCTCGATGGCTTCCACAGTCTTGCTCTGCTCCTCTGAAAGGCAGCCGGGTTTGGGGGCCCCGGCCTGGGAAGCCGCGCGCGAGTCCCGCTCCCGTTCCCCGGGGGGCGGCAGCAGTCCCTTCAACTCCAGCAACGCGCGGTGGTATTTGCCGATGGCCTCGCGGAATTTCTTGTCCTTGTAGCACTGCGCCCCTTGGCTCTTGAACTCGTGGGCACGCCGGATGAGCTCGGCGGGGTCGGGCGCCGCCCCAGCCTGGCTCGGCGCTGCATCTTTGGTTTCAGGATGGAAATGTAGCCACTTCTGGGGTGGAAGGCAGGCAGTGCTAGCCCCTGGCAGGCAGCCAAAGGCGTGGGGTGAAGGGCAGCCCTAGAGTGCCCATGGATAACACTGAATATAAGACTCCATTACCACTCAGTGATCACCGCATTAGTGATCCACAGTGCCTCTTCTTCCACCCATAGCCGCTGCACTCTAACTATTCATCGGGCAGCAGCGTGCATGCCAGACACTTATGGGAAATAAAGGGAATCAAACTACATCTTGTGATGGATTTAAATATTCCATCTTTGGTGTACCACTACTTTATCTGCAGCTGTTATTACTAGTACTGCTACCAGCACCATCATTTCTATAATTGCAGCTACTACCACTAAATTTAAATTTGTAAACTGATCCACAATTTACAAAGTGCCTCCCTGGCCTGAGTTTTGCCTGATTAAATATGGCACTGGACATGGCATTATGGGAAGGCAGAGATGGGCTGGCAACAGAAACCTCAAAGGGAACAGAGCAGAAGTATGATATTTACTTTCATCCCCCAATTGCCTGGGCTGCAGACATCCACCATTCCCAACCACACCCAGTCACAGTTCCAACTGTTCCCTTTCATAGCTAGTTTAGGCAACTTCAAGGGTTAGGAATTAGGAGAAATGGCTTTTTTTTTTTTTTAAACAAAGGAGCTTACCAAACCAAACCGTTTACCGTAGAGTCGATTCCAACTCATAGTGACCCTGTAGGACAGAGCAGAACTGCCCCATGGGGTTTCCAAGGCTGTAATCTTTATGGAAGCACACTGCCACATCTTTC